AGAGAGAGGGAGAGAATATGTGTGTGTGGGGGGGTGGGGGTGGTGGAGGCGTTGAACGAAATGCCTCAACAAAAATACTTAATAATCATTTCATCTTTTCGACAGTTGTGTTCTAATTGGCCCCTCGTGTTGGGGCATCCAGCAAAAGGAATAACTTCGAGATAAAGAATTATTTTTAAAAGCTTCCAGATTCTTCCGCAAGCCCGAACTTTCTGCACAATATCAGCTAAGGCCGTAAATCTTTTCGTCAGCGGGAATGGCTATCAATAATCATTAGATCTAACTCGTTTGTTACCCAATCTGGGATGGCTGAAGTATCTGATCGCCTGTATCATCCTTCTTAAGATGTGGTGGATGGGGGATCTCTTGAGCTATTTTTTGTTTTAAATTTCCATACCAATATAAACAATGTTAGAATGTTATAGGTAGACCCAATGCTAACGTGCAAAATGATTTTTGGATTTTTGAGTGTTATTCATCAACTTTGTTTGCTGCCTAAATTGGGACAGCGGAAGAATCTCTTCGCTAGTATCGTGCTCCTTAAGGAAGGGAGAGGAAAAAATCTGGTGTGCTCATTTTTGTTTAATTTACAGACCAATATAAACGAATTTAGCACAGTCAGACTCAATGTTAACGTGCAAATGAATAATCTGGGGTATTATCATGATATAATATCATATCATTTATCACCATGGCGATGGCAGCGATCTCAAAAATAAACACACGACGTAAATTCCCAGAATCTCAAACACTTAAACACTAATACCGATTTTTTAAAGGGGGAAAGAGGGGTTTGTTTTTGTTTTTTGTTTGGTTTTGTTTCGGGTTTTTTTCTACTTTGTTAGATAGTAATGAAAGAAAACACAGTCACATTCAGGTAGTCACTAGTGCAAAAACCTCAAAAAACGATATTCTACCCAACATTTAGCCATAGTCCCACTGTGTGTCTGTATATTTGCCCATTGAGCTGTCTATTCCTCTGCATGTCTAAGTATCCACCGGACAGCTTTATACAGTAGACGGCTCTATAAAAACGTCTTATTGCGATTTCGTGAGTTAGTTTCCCAGTCTGTTTTTCTTCAGGCTGTTGATCTCTTGCTAGCGAAAGCAGACTCAGATTTTCCAAGAAGTGAGAAAAGAGTGACAGGAGAGAAAACACACACACACACACACACACACACACACACACACACACACACACACAGTGTGTGTGTGTGTGTGTGTGTGTGAGAGAGAGAGAGAGA